TATGAAGTACATGTTCTAACACTGAGCAACAACTCCTAGCCCCTCCTCATAATCACAGTTCTAAGTGTGCGCCACACACACAAATAAAACAATCAATGAGGCACAAGGGGAAGCTCAGAGCAGGACCAGGAATTAAGAAGCCACTGCACACAACTAAGTCAGATGAGAAGACAGGAGAATTAGAATCGGATGTGAGTAATGAGACATTACGGACACCTCCTAGAGTCTGGCTCGAGCACTCTGGGTTATCAATGATCTCATTTAAGCCAGGAAAAGTGAGGTGCACACACCTGCGATCCCAACACTCGGGGTGAAGCAGGGAGTCTGACTTAAACTGAAGGCCAGCCTGGGCTGCAGAGAGAATACCAGGCTAACCACAGATACACAGCAAACGAAAGAGTTCCATTTATTGAATCGATGAAGAGTATGGAAGGAATGAGTAGGAAAACCAAGAGTTCAGTGTTCAAAGTTCTAGCCCCATGTTTTAACAAGGGTGAGCTTTCTCCAATGTGGAGTGTTAGCCAAAAGCTGCATCAATACATTCCATTCTCAGGGTTTACCCCTGTCCTCCTATTAACAGTAGGGCTGGGAATGGAGACATATTTAAGAAAAGCAGAATCCTCCTGGAGGAATTAGGTATACTTTTCTGTGGTGATATATTGTTTATGATTTATTAAAGCCACTGGACATCAAAAGACCAAAGCATTTAGTAGCCATACAGTCTGAGGACCACCCTTTGGTCTGAGCACAAGTAGAGGACAGAGCTAGTAACTTGGCTGCTTTGTTTTTCTGATCTTCAGCTTGAAGCTTGAACCCCATTATCTGTCTCTGGGCCATTTATTTATTGTGTTACAATTTTCTCTAGATTAGGATGGCCTCAAGATCTTTCTTCCCAAACTGGTATCACAGTACCAAAGGCAACTAGTACTTACCTACTTTTCCAGTTACACTTGTATTTCGAACTGGTAGTAAATAATTAAGAGCCAAGATTTACAATGGGGTGTCGTAAGCACAGATACATTATCTGATTTACAATGGGGTGTCGTACGTAGAGATCTGTGTGATGCCCACAGCCCAAGCAAAGGATTCCATCGTGGCTGCCTCTGCCTCACTCCAGCAAACATTTTAACTGGCTCTTCAGCTTTTTCAGGAGTTTTTAAGTTGTGAGGCTCTGGGAATTTGCTGCCACAGAAAAATAATGTGTTGTTATTTAGCTTTGAAGCATAACCTACTTCATAAATACTTGTAGGAGTTGGTTCTCTTTCCACCAAGCGGGCTCCCAGCTAATGCAAGCCACTAGGCTTGGCAGCATGCATCTTTCTTTACCCGATGCTGCCAGCCTACTGTTTTATTTCTACTGCCCAAGTCATCCCCCAAATTTATAAAACTTACTTGAAAACATATATATACATGTTATATATATATACTATATAAAAATAGTCACCCTCTTTTTTTGGGACAAGGTCTCATGTAGCCCAGGCCGGCCCAGACTCACTATGGAACCAAGGAAGCCTCCCATGTCTATGCTCTCCACGCTAAGATTACAGAGGTACGTCACTATGACTGAAACATATATGTCTTTAAGGATACATCAGAAAAAAATGCAGACCCCCCCCCCGCACTGGCAACCTCTGGTGCCACGGGTCCACGTGGTTCCTAGTCCTCTATGTTCTTACAGGAAGCACTTAAGAGGCAAGTGCAAAAATGGGAGTTAGTGACAGGAAAACACTGTAAAGTTCCAGGCAGAACTAACTTGGTCATATGATCCTCATCTTTTTAAATATCTTCTGCAATGATGCTCAACTTCCTATGTTCCTCAGCCATTGAAGGACACAAAGCCGACTGCTCCATGGCTACAAGGAGTTAAGCAGCTCTTTGAGGGCCCTGAAACCAGTCTTTCTCTACCCTGGATTGTAAGATACTGTTGCTCCCCATGGAGTTCCTCCACTATGAACTAACGCACAACAGCTGGCCCAGGACATCGATGAGACAGACGCAGGTTACTCTGGCAGCACGCTTCATGGTGTGATGGGACCTCAACATTGCTGGAGGACTGCTTTTGCATGTCCTGTCCTTTCCAGCCACAGCACAAATGACAATGCCTTCTGCTAATCTGCTACAGATAAAATGTTGAAAAATGTTAAAACTGTTCTCTGCAGTAGGCGCCCACAAACAAAATGTGTGCAGTTTTCTGGAATTTCTGTGTGGGACAGAAGAAAAGCATCTTTTGCTGCTTCCCAGTTATCTGGAAACTGACCATCCCAGAGGGAAGCTAAAAAAGAAAATATGATGTCTCCTTTACAGGAAAGCCCCAAATGCAACCCAACCACTGCAATGACAGATCTGCTTACATCCATCTTCCAAAGCTGGGTGGAAGACTGTGTCTTAAGCTATTCTGAAAATACAAATGATTAAAGATGTAAGAGCAGGCCTTTTTATTTGGAAAAAGAACTCACAATGAGACTGGACAGCTGTATCTGCCTATGTTCTCAGCTCCTTATTACACATATGAAATATGAGATCACAGAAATGGAAGTGTGTTTCAAATGCTCTTCCACTGGCCCCAAGTTCTGCCCTTTCTTAAGAACGCCCTGAGAATATATCCCACATGTTGCTATATGCTTGGCCACTACCTTATCTACTCTTGTAGTTTAGGAAATGATTTTTTCCTTTAGTTTTAGGAGAAATCTCTTCATCGACATCCAGCCACTCTCTTCTAAATAGCCAAGGCTTTTTAAGAACTGACAAGAACACGTAATCATATGTAATTTCCAAATAATTTTCTTTACTTGTAATCTCAAGTTACGTATCTACCTCTCTAAGATAAAAAGGCAAAAAATAAAGGACAAAATGCCCAATGCAAATGGGCAGAAATAAGAATCATAGGCAAATTGTCGACATGGAGAAAAGCATGACTTGCTAGGAGGTTAAAAGCTTTTAGTAAAAGCAGCTCCAAAACGCCAGCAAAATTCACTGCTAAAGCACTTTCATGTTGATAGTTATATACACTTTTTTTCTGAGACACTATGTACCTCTGATTGTCCACTATCCACTATGTACAGCATGCCTAGAACTCACTCTGGCTTCTGACTGTTGGGATTAAAATAAAGATGTGTTCTTCAAAGCCTGGCCCTTTAAAGTTCAGCCATTTCATACATAATACAGTAAAATACTTACAAATTAGTTTGGGATACTTACTGAAATTTTACAAAACCACGAATGAGACTTTTCTAAAATCACTAAGGATGTCCGAAACACCTCAACTGAACTAAATCAAGTAGAGATTTTAGAGTCGTAAGCACCACGATCTTGCAAAAGTAATTCCTACTTTAAAATTCCACCTGAAGTCAGCCACAGTGATCCACACCTTTCATTCCAGAACTGAGAAGGCAAAAGCAGGAGGAGCTCTGAATTCGAGGCCAGCCTGGTCTACAAAGCGAGTTCCAGGACAGGCAGGTATACACAGAGATACCCTGTCTGGAAAAATCAAAAATAATATAAACATCCCATTTGAAAGACCACCTGTTGATAAATCTTGTATCTATTAAAATGAACTCACCTACTTACTGAAATAAACAGATTACAAAGAAATGTACAAATTAGAATTTAAGCAAAATGGAAGTCTCTGAAACTCTCAGATTGCGGGGTTAAAAAGCAAAGAACCGCCGGGCGTCGGTGGTGCACGCCTTTAATCCCACCCAGCACTTAGGAGGCAGAGGCAGGCGGATCTCTATGAGTTCGAGGCCAGCCTGGTCTACAGAGCAAGTTACAGGACAGCCTCCAAAGCAATACAGAGAAACCCTGTCTCGAACCCCCCCCACACACACAAAAGCAAAGAACCAACACAAAACCACGGGAGTACTACCCCTAACCACTACACTCAAAACCATCACGATGCTTAAGTAAATACTAAACTAGAAAGCTAAAATTTAATTTGTTCTAGTGAAGGTACTAGTCTGACATTTTACCCTTAAGCGTCTTGGAAAACAAAACTTAGTTTAAGATCAGTGCAGTTCACATCACACAATCGTGGGGCATTTCCTCTTCGCTCCTCCCTTTGCTAAGGTGCATTTCAAGTGGGATTAAGGCGAGAGTCCAATCAATTGGCACCTTAAAGCACGGGGCCATTTCCTTCCCCACAAGTTCTCCAGGGTTAGAACTCCAGTTCCTCTACCTCCCGGCCTTTCACTTTCCTTTTCACAGAAACCCCGTGGTGACCCTGAGGAGTCAGAGGCCTCTGGCCTCCGCCGCCAGAGGCCGGGCGCGTGAGCGAGGTCCCCAAGAGTTTGAAACGCAGCCCAGGGGAGCGGAAGGCTGCATCAGACGCGGGGCCGCCGGCCGGGTGCGGGGCACGCCGCCAGCACCTCTCCCCGGGGCAGGGATGAACCTGCCCAGCCCGGGGCCGTTACCTAACCAGCCCGATCGCCCGCCGGTCCCTTCCAGTCCGTCCCGCCCGGGCGCCGAGGCCGCCGGCAGCCGCAGCAGCGTGCGCCCAGCCCGCCGAGCCTCCGGCCGCGCCCCCGCCGCGGCGCAGGCCCCGCCTCCGGCCCGCGACTCCATCCTCCGGCCGCCGCGCTGCGGCTCCTCCACCTGCCCCATGCCTCCGCCCGGGCCCCCGCCGCCCCCGGCCTCGAGGCCCGCCCTGCAGCCCCACCTTGTAGGAGTCCGTGGCCAGCAGGATGTTGAACTCAGCTTCTGCCGCAGCATTCATCTCGGGCCGGAGCGGAGACGCCGCGCCACGAGCTGCCCGGCGCGGCTGCGAGCGAGGGGAAAAATGGGCTTCGCTGCGCTCCGTTGCTTAAGTCACCGCTCGCTCGCCGGGGGGCGGGAGGGGCCGGGAGGGCGGGCCGGTCCGTGACGCGGCGGCGGCGGCGGCGGCGGCGGCTCGCGCGCTCCCCAGCCCGGCGCTCCCGCGGCTTCCCCGGCTGGGCTCCGCGCCCCGCCCACCCCGGGGACGAGGGGGCGGGGCGCGGCTGCGCGTGCGCAGCTCCGGGGCGGGGGCCGCGGAGGACGTGAGGCACGCGCTCTGCCTCCGCGGCGCCCGCCCCCAGGCCTCCGGCCGCGGGTCGCCCCAGCGCGTGACCCGGGACCCCGCCCCCACCCCGCTCCAGCGCCGGGACCCGAGGGGCGGGGCCTGCCGCAGGGGGCGGGGCCCGGCGCGCCCCTCCCGCCGGAGCGTCTTGGCCGCCCCGCCCCGGGCCTTCCCCTTGTCCTGCCCAGTCCGGGGCCGTCCTGCCAGGCTCGCCGGAGTCACGCCACCGTGCTGGGGCCGGCAGCCTCCCGCCGGCGTCGCCCTGCGCCCGCACGCGCCGAATTACCTTTGTCTCCGCTTGCCGGTCGCGATCCCCGAGCTCTCCTCTGTACCCTCCGAGGAGCTGCGTGAGGTCTGAGTTCCCGTGGTGCCTGGACCCGCTTTCCTCCCCGCTGCTGTCTGGGGCCGAACTATTCGATCCTTTGAAGGCTGTTTGACTCTCCCTGGAGAAAAGAGTTTGCGTCTGAAGGGGAAGGCTGAATTCAGCCCTCTCAGACAATGTAGGGACAAGACCGAATTGAATCAAGTATTGCTGGGAAGTAAAAGGCAGCCTTAGTCTTTGATAGCGGATTTTTTTTTTATCATTAACTGCTGGGGCGGGGGAGGGGAAGCTTGCAACCTTCCAAGGAAGAGAAATGACGTCTAGTGACGTCATCCAATTTCCACGAAACCATCCTCTTGTTCAGTTTTCATTTACATAGTTGCAATTCTTTCTGCAGAAAACTAAAATTCCTTTTGCAGATTTAATAGCATTTAAAAATTCTAAGATTTGGATATTTTAAAAAAAATAGAATACAAGGAATAAGAGAAAATTAGTATAAATAAACTGGCAAGGGCCCTTACAGACTGCATCAAGTCAGTCGCCTCCTGGAATCCATTTCTCTGCAATTGACCACTGTTATAGGCTGTTTTTTTGCAGAAGAAAAATTAGGATTCTGATTACAAAGTAGGCTTTGTTTATGGTAGCATTTTTTGAGAGCAAAATTTGTTCTTTGAGTTTTCTTGTATAAAAACAAAATAAGCTAAAAATGTAAGAACTCTAACATTGTAAGCATGCTGACATGGTTAGTTAAGTTCAAGAATTAAGTCTGCAGAAGTACTGTGGGCCCAACCCCACAGCAGTCTTTAGTGGAAAGGATGGCAATGCACTTGCTAGGGTTTTGATCTTAAATGTCCCTCAAAGGTCTATATGCCAGCGTTGACTGGCAGCCTGTGGGCGGTACAACTTTAAGAGTTGGGGTTTGGTCGGAGGCAGTTATAATTGAGAGGACGGGAGGTACTGGAACTGTCTCGTTCCCTTTTCTCCTCTTTGAGATGCACCATGCCGCCACAAGCTCAAAGCAAACAGGGCCAGGGACTGTGAACTGAAGCTCTGAGCCAAAAGAAACCTCTGCCTTCAAGATTTCCTCAGGTGTTTTGTGGAAGAGATGGAAGCTGGCCAACACAGAAATCGTGTTGACAATAGAAAACCACATTGCCAAAGGCAGAATTCAGCATGTTCTTATAGGGCTGTATGTTTAGACCAGACCAGTTATGAATTAATTGGGGTTTAGAACTGTGTTATGAAATGATCACCAAATATAAAACCAAGTTTATCTTGAAATAATATATACTGAAGGACACTTTGAAAAAGTATTTAGTTAGCACCTTTATTTAGTGGCATGTAAGAGATCTGACAAACTGTCTCCCATGGATTAGTGCAGCACAAATATTAATAGATTCAAATAGGTCCCTTCTGTTAGTATTAAGACCTGTCCTTGGGGTTCTGACAGGATACGGCCTGAGCTGCAGCCACCAAGAGCACATTCACTATGTTCCCTTTTAAAAGGGCCCTGCCCACCTCCCATCCTTCTCTCTCTCTCCCTCTCTCTGTTCCCCTCTTCCCTCCTCTCCCCTCTTTCCTCTCTCCTCTCTCCTGCTGCTCCTGTCTCTGGAGGCTGGTCACCCCCCTTCCCTTCCCCCTTTTTATGATCCCTTTCCCTAATTAAAAACAAAACAACAACAACAACAAAAAACCCTCTGCTTGAACCCTGTTGCATGGCATCTTTCTCTCAAGCGCTGCTTTTCTTAAATTATACCTTCTTTTTCGAAGCCCTGGGTCATTCTTCCAGCCCACAGATCAGCCAGTCAAACACAGTCAAACCCCATTTCTTGCTATGCAAAGTGGGTGATGCTGAGCCCCTCCTGGTTTTGAGGCAACCTCTGATACACTTTTGTATTTCAAGGTAGCTTTGGGTATTCCAAACTGATGTGATGTTACCTTGTTAAAAAAACAAACAGAGAAGTGGGTGTAGACTCTCTCATCTCCAAACCCTGACCATTGCTCTCCTCTTTCTCTCTCCCCTCCAGACTCATCAGCTAACAACAATTATCAGGAGCTCCATAAAGTTAAGCTTAGACCTTCCCTTACTTAAATTGGCAGTGAAAGGTTCAGGCATTACGTTGGCCTGACCTGTCACCTGGCAGAATGCACTCAGGCATTACGTTGGCTAGCCCAGAGTTCCATGAGAACCAATCTGCACGCAGGTGCAAAGGACCCCTTTAAAGGACAGACCCCTGCCTGCTTCCGCTGTTTCTCTCTCTCATCCCCTCTCTCATCTTCCCTTACTCTCATCCTCTCTCATCTCATCTCTTACTCCCCTTACCTTACTCTCTCATGTCTTTCTCCCCCCTTTCGGTCTCGCTATAACTATGATTAACGTGCTCTCCATGGCTCATGCTTTATCTCCCTGGTTCCCGTCTCCTGCAACACTTTCTTTTTCCTTTTTTCTAATTTTTAATCTCAAGCAAAATAACAACAGGTAGGATCCCTGGGTACAATTTCTTAGATTGAAGCGTTTTGAACTGATTTCTTCGGCAGAAGAGGTTTCAAGACAGCCTAACATAACTCTGTTGCATGGTTACTACCGATCACTCTTACATAGGTCTATAAAGGAAGAGAGCCAGTGGGGCAGGAGGAAATACAAAGTGGAGTTTGAAAGCTGGGGTTTGTGGCCCATGCCCTTAATCCTAACTCACAGGAAGCAGAGGTCAGACTGGTCTACAAAGTGAGTTCCCGGACAGCCAGGGTACACAGAGAAACCTCATCGGGGGTGACGGGTTGGGGGTAGGGGGTATAGTTTGAGGAGAAAAAGAGCACCAGGAAATTTAATGTTTGAGCCATGATTTATGCTGAAAGAGATCAGGAGAAATGGAGTAAATGGAGTGGTCCCCCTAGGGGAGAGACCCGCCCCCCTGCGCCCGCAGCTAATCCTGCAAGTGAAAAGGCCTAAGGGATTACCCAACTCTAAAGAGAATCAGCAAATCAAAGCCTGTGCCAACGCAGTTCAAGGAGGGGGTTCACCTCCATCCCAAACGGCAGAGGAATTTGGCAGCCTGGGCCACACAGTCCTGGCTGTAGTCTTGAAGAATATGGGAGTAAAAGGGTGGTGGGTTTTCCTCTGAGGATAAAGGAAGCTGCCGAGGCCGGGCATGCGCCCAGGGCACCTCTCTATAGAGGCCTAAAGAGGCCGTTTCCTGAAACTCTGATGCATTCTATTAGAGACCCCGGGATGCTGGAGACGCCAGAGTAATGGGATATCTGCCAAGAAGAGCTGTAAACAGGGCGTGGAAGCAGCCCAAGAGGGAGAAGTATGCTGAAGTTAGCTGAGCTGGAAGGGAAGAGCCGTCCAAGGCCTTTGATATCAGAGGTGGAGCTACAGAATTTGGAGTTTGCCCTGCTAGGTTTCTGCATGGCTCAAATCCAGTATTTCCTCATTATGCCTCCTTTACTCCTTTTCGGAATAGTAATGTATGTTCTGTACCATTGTATGTTGGAAGTGTGTAATTTGCCTTTTTATTTTGATTTTACAGGAGGTTACAATTCAGAGATTGCCCCGAGTCTCAAAAGAGACTCTGGTCATTTAAATTGTGTTGAGACTGTGAATATGGGGGGACCTTTGAAGTTGGACTAAATGCATTTCGCTCTATAATATAGAGTAGGATGTTGTGGTTTCAATGGAAGTGGCTGTACGTATGTTTCTCTTACTGGTTGATGAATAAAGTACTGTGGCCAATGAGGCAGGATGATAGGCGGGACTAGGAGACAAGGAGGATTCTGGGAAACATAGGCCAAGTCATCGACATGTAGGACACCAGAGGAGTAGTGCCATGCTGAGCATTACTGGGTAAGCCACAGCCTTGTGGTAATACATAGATGATAGAAATGGGTTAATAATTAAGACAGAGCTAGCCAATAAGAAGCCCTAGCTAATTTCCAGCAGACCCTTAATCTCAGAGTCCCCCGGTGGACGCCACTTTGTTAGGGCATTCTTCCTGCCAGCCTGGTCCCAAAGCCTCGTCAGCCCCAAATGAATGTGCAGATGCTGTCATATATTTGAATGCTTGGTTCCTAACTGTTTGGGAAGGATAAGGAGGTATATCTTATTGGAGGAGGTGTGTTACTCAGGGTGGGATTTCAGGTTTCAAAGCCCTTACAATTCCCAGTTAGCCTTCTGCCTCTTGCTTGGGGAACAGATGTAAGTGCTCAGCCACTGCTCCAGTGCCCTGCACTACTGCCTACATGCTCTCTGCCATGGTGGTCATGGACCCTAACCCTCTGGAAGCATGAGCCCCCAAATTAAATGCTTTCTATTATACATTTCCTTGGTAATGGTGGGTTTTTTTTCACAGCAATAGGAAAGTAACTAAGACAAAGGGAAAAATATAGCAAAGTTAAATGTTCAGGTTGATCTTTAAAGGGATGGTAAACATATGCCTGTTGCAATGTTGTATGAGGGTCAGTCATCATCATTACTTAGAAATTTTGCTGATAGCTACTTAAGAGTCAATAGTCCAAATGAATGGCTGAAAAAAAAAGCTGTTAGAATTGTTAGAGTATGTCAAGATCTTTTAATTTGGTATTTTCCTAAATGAGAAGTGCTTACCACTGACACTGTAGAAAATGAACATTAATGGTATCAGAGAAGCATTCTTAATTTTACTAATTATTTCTAGGCACATTAGGAAAATATAACTTGCATGTAGAATCTGATTTTTTGGGTGTTTTACTTGGGATGAATTCAAATGAAGGACACTAAGATGGTGAGACACTGTCTTTAATTTTCTCTAGCCTGTAGTGACATGGAAATAATAGTCTAGAAGAAGCTGAATGGCTGCACAGGCTAAGGTTAAGGGAAGCAGAGTCACTGGATTCTACATTACATTTCTGCGTTATAGATAAATTCTACCTCTGAAACTGAGCTAAGATGACCTTCCTTCTTGGAAAGATCCTGAGTTCTGCCTCCTCTGGTCCTGGGTTTTTACGCTTTCATTTTCATGTCTTCTTGTTTCCATCTTAGTTTGTACAAATAGGCAATGAACATTGTTATGCACAACCTTCAGTGTTTATAATGTCCCAATATCAAGACTGAACATTCCTGCTAATGAGTAGAGATTGGGACAAAGAACTAGTCCTAATATGGTCAGCCCAAGAGGGAAGTGTCAGCACCTGGCACGGACACCACACTTATCTGGAAGCATCAGGGGCTCTTTAACTTAGCAGCTACCTCGTCCCTGGGATCTGGAGTGGAGGAGCCAGAATCCGAGGGTGTTCATCATCTTTAGCAAACTCAGCATTTGATTGTAAGGTCATTATAAAATGGCATGTGGCCATGACCCTCAGGAACAACTTCCAGGAAAGGCTTGGGTAGTGTTCATTTAACCAATTTCCCAGGCTCTAGTCTTCCAGAAGGAGCACTTCTCACCAGCCTCAGGCTGCAGTTCTTGTTTTTGACCACTGAGTCCTTGGTGTGTATCTCACTCATCCCCCTCCCTGTACACTAGCCCTAGTTCTTACTGTCTTTGCCCCAGACCAGAATTTTCCCCATCTGACTTGCTATGTATTCTTACCACATGTGTTAGACTTTTGGCACTGTGGGAATACCTGAGAAAAACACTTATAAAAGAGGAAACTTTTTTTTGGCTCATAGTTTCACAATTTTAGTCCATGTCTCATGTTTTTGGTCGTAGAGTTGGGGAATTAATCATGGTGAAATGTGATAGAGGAATGTCTCTCGCTTTATGGGTGGTGAGGATATCAAGGGGATGGGCACAAGGTATAGTCCCAAGAACATCCCCTAATTACCTATTTCTAGCAAGGCTCCAAATCACAACATTTCTGTCACCTCACAAAATAGTGCCATCAGCTGAAAAGCTTTCAACACACAAGCCAGTAGAAGACATTTCATATTCAAATCATAACATTCTACACCTGACCTCAAAGATTCATGGCCATCTGATAATATAAAATGCAATTAGTCCATCTTTAAGAGTCCTTAATATCTCAAAAGTTATAGTATTTTTCAAAAGTTCAAGTCCATATTCTTTGCAGAACTCAAAACAAACTTTTAGCTTTCAGGATACAATTGCACAGACTAAGCATTCCCATCCCACAAAGGAGGAATGGAGTCACAGAGATGAGGTATTGCTGTGGTTTGAATGTAACTGGCCCCCTGAGGCCCCTAGGCGGTGGCACGACTGGGCTGTGTGGCTTTGTTGGAATAGGTATGGCCTTGTGGGAGGAAGTATGTCACTATGGGGGTGGGCCTTCAGATCCCATGTGTGCTCAAGCCACACCCAGTGTCTGAATTCACTTCCTGTTGCCTTCAGATCAAGATGTAGAATTCTCAGCACCATGTCTGTCTGCACACCACTGTCCCACCATGAACTAAACCTCTGAACTGTAAGCTACCCCAGTGAAATGGTTTCCTTAGTAAGAGTTGCAGTGGTCATGATGTCTCTTCAGAGCAACAGAAACCTAACTAAGTCAGGTATAAAAACAAAGCAAGCAAGAAACATAGCAAGACAAATATCAAATCCTACAGCTGTGTAACTTGGTGTCTGACAATGGGGTGTGTTGGCAGGCTGTAAGTTCCAAGGCTTGCACAGCTATTCTTACTGTGGCCCTTGTGGTTTCTTCCTAGAGCTGGCTGTGATCTTGGCCTGCAGCTTCTTGGAAATGTCCTGTGTACCTGGCCCTTCTCAACTATACCTTCAGCTTTATTCTTAAAGCTTCATGTGCCATCCCCACAGGGCTGCCTGCTTGGATCCCAATCACACGACACACTGACTGGCTTTTCAGGCTTATCCTATGACTGGCATTATGTACACCTATAAAACCAGCGTCATATGAACGGCCTGCCCTTAGCTCAAGAAGCATCTCGTTTCCTATGACCATGGTGCTTCTAAGTACCTGAAAAGCTAAGAATGGTGGAATGAATCCTGGAAAACAGCTTCCTGTGTGTGAAGTGAGTAGGGTGCCCTATGGCGTTTCTCAAGTGAAACCCCTGCGGTGCCCTCTTCTCAAGTGGGATATTTCGAAATGATTCTACACTTTTATACCCTGGAACCCAGATGGGTGTGAAGAAGCAAATTCCTGAGACGTCCTCAAGACATTGTCCCATTGTCCCCATAATCTTTATAATTGCATAATTTCTTTAACAACTATGTCTTCCTTGTTCACAACTTTGAATTTGGTCCATTTTTTTGCAAGATTGTATGTTTTAAAATATTTCTGTTCTTCATTATGCTTCTTATTCTCTGTAAATATTGCTAAAGGTGTCTAGCAGCAATGATGCTACCAGTGTGAATGCTGGATTGCTATGTCATTTCCTCCATCATATTAATTATTGTATCATTCTTAATCTTAATGTCACACAAGTCTTACAGTATAGACAAAATACAGAGGAATCCTTTGCCACAATGTAACATGAATGCCTCTAATTCAAATCCTAATAGGTTTTGTGAAACTTTTTAATCTTTACTATTTGTTTTTATTTTATATTTCTTTAACAGTATTCAGGTCTCTTTAGCTCCCAGGAGAATGACCCTTAAGCTTTTCTTAGGGCCCACTGAGGATGTTATTAGGACTCTATTGAGACAAATTAAGAGGAAGCTATTTTTCTCCTGATGAAAAGAATGGAATCTACCTCTGGCCCTGGATGGAGATATGACACTCTGATCTACTCCAAATATTACATATAGCTTTCTTCCCATAAGACCTGGGACATACATTCACATGGTGTAAAGGAATAGTGCGTAATAGCCTGGCTGCTTTAAAATGCTATACGGTAAAGATCTGAAGATTGGAGGGCTTTGAGAGAAACTAGACAGAGGTGATCTCAATAATGACAAGGAATAGAGTCCAAGTTAGGTGGTGTTGTGTATTGAATGGAAATGTGCCCATACCCTTATGTCGCTATGATTGGTTTAATAAAGAAGCTGAGTGGCTGGCCAATAGCTAAACAGAATAAGGTTAGAAGGGAGAGCCAAACAGAATTCTGGGAAGGAGTAGGGCGGAGTCTGGAGTAGCAAGCAGATGCAGAGAGAAGCAAGATGGGCATGCTGTACTGAGAAAAGGTGCCAAGGCACGTGGTGAATCATAGATAAAAATGTGGGTTAATTGAAAATGTAAGAGCTAGTAGTAACAAGCCTCAGCTTTTGACTAAACATTTATCATTAACATCAAGCCTCTATGTGATTACTTGTGAGCAGTTTACAGGACAGAAACTTCCCCTTACAATGCACTAATAGCCGGGCGGTGGTGGCGCATGCCTTTAATCCCAGCACTCGGGAGGCAGAGGCAGGCGGATCTCTGTGAGTTCGAGGCCGGGCTGGACCGACAGCCTCCAAAACAATACAGAGAAACCCTGACTCGTAAAACCAAAAAAAAAAAACAAAAACAAAAAACAACAACAACAACAAAAAATGCACTAATAGAGAGCATCACATAGTCATGAGCTAGCCATCCACAGTGGACACATTATGTCATCTGCAACCCTTGTATTTCCCCCTTCAGCTTCTTTTCCCATTTTGCTTAGCAGTTATTTTAAAAATGAACCCTTCTCCTCACATCCTTACCTTCAAACCATCCTGTTGTCTCAGAAGATGATGTTGTTGCCATCAGGTAGGAACTCTCTAGTCCAGAATAGCTATGAGGGCAGAGGTAGACCTATGTACAGATCTGTTCCCAGAGGAAAGGAGTGCGAGACACACTTTAGGAGTTAGTAAGTGTTTCCTGAGTTGACAAGGACAGCCCGGTGGCACGATGCTGTTCACTAAGATCTGACACACTTTAGGGGTTAGTAAGTGTTTCCTGAGTTGACAAGGACAGCCCGGTGGCACGGTGCTGTTCTAAGATCTGAAAGGCCTTCGTACTCCTCTGCTCACTGACACACAGCTGTCTTCTACACTCGAGCTCTCTGAACTCAGTTAGGCTACTTGAGTGGCCCAAGACCATGTGTGGAAGGAGCCACATGAGCTAAGGTGTGGCTCCCATCTCTCTTTTCCTTGTGCCGAAGAGCCTGTGGCACTCCAGATGGGGCTGATGGGGCCACTGGACTCCAGCCGCAGGGACTGCAGAGATGAACCACAGCGAACCACTGACGTCGGATAGGCAGCGAGAGAAACATGCCTTCCTGGGAAGCCAGAGAGAATCCCAACAGACCCTAAACATTTTCTTACTCTAGGAGAGAGACAGAGAGACAGACAGAGACAGAGAGACAGAAAGAGAGACAGAGACAGAGAGACAGAAAGAGACAGAGACAGAGGGACAGAGAGAGACAGAAACAGAGAGAGACAGACAGAGACAGAAAGAGAGACAGAGAGAGACAGAGACAGAGGGACAGAGAGAGACAGAGATAGAGAGAGACAGACAGAGACAGAGAGACAGAGACAGACAGAGACAGAGACAGAGACAGAGACAGAGAGACAGACAGAGAGAGACAGAGACAGAGAGAGACAGAGACAGAGAGAGACAGAGAGACAGAGACAGAGAGACAGACAGAGACAGAGAGACAGACAGAGAGAGAGAGACAGACAGAGAGACAGAGACAGAGAGACAGAGACAGAGAGAGACAGAGACAGAGAGACAGAGAGACAGAGACAGAGACAGAGAGAGAGACAGAGACAGAGAGAGACAGAGAGACAGAGACAGAGAGAGACAGACACAGAGAGACAGAGACAGAGAGACAGAGAGAGAGACAGAGAAAGAGAGAGAGTGCGAGAGTGAGCACAAGACTTCTTAGCACTTGCAATAAGGACATGCAGGTGTGGCACACATACACACACACTCATTCTCTGGCAATAAAGGCGGCAGACGCATTCTCTCAGCACAAACGGTTGGACGTCTTCTCTTTCATTTCCTGATACCTCAGACTTGTTTGTGGTGCACATGTCACAAGGCTGTATGTCAGAAAGGTCTGCGTTCAATTACACTCACACCTAACATCCTGCTGTGGGTAAGATAAGTGTCTCCAGTGGACTGTGAGTGGAAGATGCAGCTCCCAGTCCATGGTTAGGAGACGGCACAGCCTGTAAGAGTTAAGGCTGGCTGGAGGGCTTTAGTTCATGGCCTTGAAGACCCCTAGCCTCTCTGACTCTGGCCATGAGGGCTTCCTCTACCATACACTCCCGCCATGGTTTCCTGCCTCACTGCTGACCCACCAGTCATAGACTAATTGATCATGGATTGAAATTTCCAGAACTGTGAGCCAAACTAAACCATTCTACTTTTAAAGTTTATTTCCTCAGATCATTTGTTATGGTGGTCAAAAGCTGACAGACACATTAAGAACACATTGGACCTGTACGAAATGATATGGTAGACTCTATAGTTTCCAGGGACAGATGCTCAAAGGGAGAAAATATATACATGTTACTCTAGAAACAATCTCCTTCCTGCAGACAGTCCATGACCCTGCAGATATTCTGCGGAGGTCATAGCCATTGCCAGCAGCTTAGGAGACACAGGCCACAGCCTCTGATGAAAGGCACTGTGTCCCCAAGATCCTTCACGGGAGCCCCTAAAGCCGTATGTCTCACCAGTGTACACGCCTCCCATAACGTGTGTCTTTGGGTCCCGCTTTTTGGCTGCCATAAATCCCTTGATACAATAGCTAAAATAGAATTTTAATTAACTTCTTTCTCCGAGGATAAGTCTAGCTGGGATGGTGGCATGGTTCAGGAATCCATACTCTGTCTTCTTGGCTTGTCATTAATGATGTGTGACTTTGGTACTGTGTCCTAAATTGAATGTTATATTAGTGAATTTTTTTGTGATAAAACACCATAACGAAAAACAATTTATGGAAGAAAAGTATTTATTTTGGCTTACAACTGTTGTATGAGGGCTCAGGATCCATCGTGGCAGGGTGGCTTGTCCGTAAGCGGGAGGCCTGATGGTCAGAGCAGGAAGCTGAGAGATCACATCTTTAATAGCGAGCATGAAGCAGAGAGCAAACAGGAAGTTGGGTGAGACTAAAGATTCATGCTGCCTCTCCTCTCCCACACCCCAGCCCCATTCCTCCAGCAAGGCTCTATTTCCCCAAGCAGTGCGAAGATTTATCTACGCCATTAGGGACATTTCTCATGCAAACCATTATACAAGCTCTAAAAGGGACATTTCTCATGCAAACCATTATACAAGCCCTAAAAGTCGCTTCCCAACTTTGCATTAATGTGGCAAGAGCACAGCAGAATGTGGGCATCAAAGAACAAAGCTGGGAAACAGTTCAGTGCTCACTGCAGTCTGTGTAGGAGACAGCGTGGCTTGGACAGTGTGGTGTGATTGGAAAGTGACGTTAGGAAGGGCACATTGAGAAGGAGATGTGTGATGGGAACCGTGTGAGGCGGTGTTGGAGGGCGGTGATGATTCTCAGGCTCTGGCTTCAAATATTGCCTCTTAGCTTACAGAGTCTTGACTTAGTGTCTGGGTTCTCTTTTTCTCTACCTGATGTCTACATTAATAGTTAGAAACAAATCTGTCTTCCTTCCGTTCTTCTGTCTCATTCTGGCATGTCATGGTCATTTGTTTTTTTTTTCAGTAGCGTGTGTGACATTTGGTTTCTCCAGCTCCGTTGGGCCTGTTGCTGACAGTATGGTGGGTCTTCTCCACCCTCCCTACACACAACCATGTGTTTCTGAAATCACAGGGTGCCTTGGGACCAAGTCTATACAAGCCAGTCTTTGAGGGACAGATCAATGGACTTCCTTCAGATGAATGGCTGTCTGGGGAAATTTGTCTCTTGTAACTTAATTATGCACAGAAATAAAGCATATCTCTGAAAATGACAAAACACTAAGCAAATATTAAGTTAAATAGGGCATTTACTGCCGGTGTTTTTCTATGTTGAAAATAGGATTAGGATGTAGATTAGTTGGTAGGGTGTTCGCCTAGCATGCATGAAGCCTTTAAGTACGATGCCAGCTCTACACAAGTGGTACATAGTGGTGCAAGCCTGTAATCCCAGACTTTGGGAAGCAGGGGCATCAGGAGTTAACGGCCATCTTTGGCTACTTATAGAGTTTCAGGGCAGCCTGGGATACATAAGACCATGCCCAAAAAAAGGAGGCGGAGGAAGAAGAAGAAGAAAAAACACAGTAGATAACATGCACGGGAAACAAAGAGAAAACAAAGGGAAAAAAGCCCTGCCCTATTTTTCCTTACGTGAACAGAGTTAAAGAGCATCTTATGGCCTTGGAGCCAGACATCAGCTTGTCAGACTCCAGCAGGTCCCTCAAAGCTGACCCTGCTGTGGAGGATTAGAAATCTCTAAACAATCACTGATTTAGTCTTTCTGACGGAAGATATAATAAATAACAGCGTAAATAAATCAGACTTGACAACGAGCTCCTGGTGTCTGCACAGTAGGTTTCCTCCACAGCTGGTCTGCAGGTCACAGGTTTCCTTGGCATCAAGGACCTTTACCCACCATCTTGCTCTATTGGCCAGAAAG